CTAATAACCAAACAGACATGAAGCAGATCAGTGAGAGAAAATAACCACACTGAACTGCACGCATATTATGGGAGCCAAAGGCCCCCAGTGCAGGAGCGGTTGGGAGACAGGAAGGGAAATGGGTGTGCGGTGGGCAGCTAGAAGGACGTGAGCAGAGCAAGGGCGATGGACCAGGTACAGAAGGTCACCCGAGGGGAGTGCCCCGGGTGCCTAGAGAAGGACCATTGTAAGGTGGGACGTCCCCTCTTCTCTTTACCACTCCCCCCCCCCCCCCCCGCCATAGCCTTACCTCCCCTGGCATATCGATACGATGGTTTGGACCCCCTGACCTTCCTCCTTAGAAACAACATCCAGGGTCAGGTGTATCTCAGCTCAGGCCAGAAAATCCACAGAACCAGCCCCAGCGGACCTCAGGGCCAGCTGCATGGAATAATGGCCCCCTGCCCCGGGGCTGGCCAACCAACCCTGAGAGGACACACCTGGAAACCTGCTGCATCTTCTACCGAGCTCTCCCCCTGGAGCCGCCCCTGAAACCTCTGCCCTCAAAGCCCTGGGGATGGGGGACCCCGTGTGCTCTGCCTTCCTCTTCCTCTTCCTCTTCCTCTTCCTCCGCCTTCCCAGACCTGGAGGTCCAGAGGCTGTGAACCCAGGCCCCGTCTGACCCCCTGGCTCTAATACCCGGTGCCATTCCCAACACCTACGCCAGGTTTCTAGAACACTCTGAGCTGGGACCTGGGGGAAGGCATCCTGGGCTCCAGGAGGTCACTGCCCGGACGGAGAGCACAAGTTCAGGAATTAGTCGTTGGCCCTGCGCTACAGAGAGGTCAAAAAGGTTATCTCGCCCTGGCCGGTTTGGCTCAGTAATTAGAGCACTGGGCCTCAGACCAAAGGGTCATCACAGGTTCAATTCCTGGTCAAGGGCCTCGGTGGCAGGCGTGATCCCTGTCATCATCGGCTGGGGGTCGTGGCTCCTGTGAGAGGCGACCCATCCCGTGTCTCTCCCACCTCAATGCTTTCCCTCCCGCTCCTCCCTCCCTTCCACTCTTTCTAAAAGTCAATATATCCTCGGGTAAACATTTTTTTTTAAAAAAAGGTTCTCTCCTGACCGGTTTGGCTCAGTGGCTAGAGCGTCAGCCTGCAGACTAAAGGGCCCCAGGTTCGATTCTGGTCAAGGGCATGTACATTGGTTGCCAGCAGGCAGCTGGTCAATGTTTCTCTTTCATTGATGTTTCTTGCTCTCATTCCTCTCCTTTCCTCTCTATAAAAAAAATCAATAAAATTTAAATAAATTTAAAAATAATAAAATAAAGAGGCCAAGCCGAAACCGGTTTGGCTCAGTGGTAGAGCGTCGGTCTGCGGACTGAAAGGTCCCAGGTTCGATTCCGGTCAAGGGCATGTACCTTGGTTGTGGGCACATCCCCGGTAGGGGGTGTGCAAGAGGCAGCTGGTCGATGTTTCTCTCTCATCGATGTTTCTGGCTCTCTATCTCTCTCCCTTCCTCTCTGTAAAAAATCAATAAAATATATTTAAAATAAATAAATAAATAAATAAATAAATAAAAATAAAGAGGCCTAATCCATATATATATATATATATATATATATATATATATATATATATAAAGGTTCCCTCCCATCATTTATTACGGGCAAGGTCCCTAATTTAAGCTCAAGGGGCAAAAGTTTCTCTTGAGCTCGAAGCTAAAATTACTCCCCCGCCCCCCCATTGTCTCAGTTCTAAAGTTACCTTTCATTCACAACAACCCACATATTTTTGACATTCTGAACTCCCACACCATCACCTCCTGATATAATTTGTGTCTTCATGTTCCCTTCCCTCCCTGTACGTCAGTCACCTATAAAGACACAAGTCATGCCAAAACCGGTTTGGCTCAGTGGATGGACCGTCAGCCTGCGGACTGAAAGGTCCCGAGTTCGATTCCAGTCTAGGGCATGTACCTGGGTTGCGGGCACATCCCCAGTGGGAAGGGGGGTGTGTGTGCAGGAGGCAGCTGATTGATGATTCTCTCTTATCGATGTTTCTAACTCTCTATCCCTCTCTCTTCCTCTCTGTAAAAAAATCAATAAAAAAAATATATATATATATATATTTTTTAAAAAGACACAAGTCATGTTGGATTAGGACCCACTCTAAGGACCTCCTTTTAACTAAACTACCTCCTTAAAGGCCCCATCCCTGTACATAGCTGCCTTCTGACGTGCCAGGCGTTAGGACGTCCACACTCGCATCGGAAGGATGGGGACAGTTCAGCTCAGAACAGAAAGCAGCTCCTTTACAGTAGGACTTGGTTGGCCTTCCCAGCAAGGTGAGCACCGCCCAACAGGACGGTGCTTTATGGGAGGAGGGGTGAGGACTCAGACACACACGGAGGGAGGAGGGAGCACGCCACGTGGCCTCGAAGGCGGCCCATCCAGCAGCCAAGGAGCAGGGGAGGCCCGAGAAGAAACCAGTCTCGCCAACACCTCGGTCTAGGACTTAACCCCTCCAGAACCAGGAGAAAAAGATTTCTGTTTGTTGAAGCCTGCGGTATTTTGTTGTGGCTGCCCGAGCAATCTATAATACACTGAGGGAGACGTGATTGCAGCTACCTTTTCTCACAACCTGCCACACCCCAAGACCTTCAGTCCCTTGTGGTTTGGGGTTTTATTGTTCTTCAGCATTCAATAAATATTGCCTGTCCTGGCCCGGTGGCTCAGTGGATGTGCCCTTGACCGGAATTGAGTACAGAAAAAGGCTGTGGGCTCAATCCGTGGTTCAGGGCGCATACCAAGGTTGTGGGTTCGATCCCTGGTCAGACGTGTATAGGAGACAACCAATCGATATTTCTCTCTCTCTTCCTCTCTAAAAACCTATAAAATATATACATATATATTTATATAACTATATATAACTGTATATAACTATATAACTATATAACTATATATATAACTATATATATAACTATATATATATTGTGTATATATATATATATATATATATATATATATATATATATATATATCTTTGGGTGAGGATTAAAAAAAAAACTTTAAGGTATTTTTAAATACATACATACATACATGCATATTGCCTGTTTTTCAAGGCGAGAGAAGCCAGAGAAGATGGTGAAGGATCAGAGGAATACAGGAGAACCAGATGAATGTGTATGCGGTGTTGGTTGTGAAATTGGACCTCGGTTCTTGAGTTTGGCAAAGGAAGACTTCAGAGCCAAGAACTCCAGCGATAAGAGAAAGCTGAGGAAGTTACAGCGGCGGCACAAGCGAGCCGCGGGCTTCGTAGGCTCAGGACACAAGTTAGGGAAGCAAAGAAGGGCCCTCGGACTTAGGAGGGGGCAAGGCCGAGGCGAGGTACCCAGGAAGGAGAGGGGGCGGAAAGGCGCAGGCATGCTCCCCAGAGGGGGCACCAGGAGAATGTGCGCTGGTCCTTCCTGAGGGCTCTGAGGCTGGGGTTTGAGGGAGGTCTTAGGGGAGGAGCTCAATAGAACAGTCATCAGCGTTGTGCGGATGCCCCGAAATGAGATCTATTCCCCCGCCTTCATCCACTCTGGGCTGCGATTGGCACCAATGACACTATTATTGTTACCTTCTAGCATCTCTCCGAGTAGGGTGTTTTAAGCTATTGACCCTCTCAGTGGGGAAGAAAAGGGTGAACCACTTTCTCTTCACTGTCCCGGGTTAGGGAAGACAGGATTTTGCGCTTCACTAGGTGGCTGTCAACTGTTTGGCCACCACACTATCTGCCTCGGTTTCCCTGTTCCACTTGTCCTGGCTTGTTAGCTTGTCTCAGTGGAAGCCAACGGAAGAGAGAGACTTGGGAAATATGCCTTTGGAGATCTCAGATCTCAAGGACGATGGGGACTGAGGATGGATTTGGCAACGGTGATTGACACGCCCAACGGGGAGGGCTGGGATTGGTTGCAGGGAAACAAACAGCATTGATCAACGAGATCTTTACATTCTTACCACGTATTTCTGCCGCTTTGAAATGTTTTACTGTAAGATACATCCACATGTAAAAATGTTAACATGCTCCGGCTGGGTAGCTCAGTTGTTAGAGCATCATCCTGATACGCCAAGGTTATGGGTTCGATCCCCTATCAGGGCACGTACAAAGATCAACCAATGAATGTATCAATAAGTGGAATTGATGTTTCTCTCTCTCTCAAATCAGGAAATAATTTTTTCTTTCTTTTGCCCTAGCTGGTTTGTTCAGTGGGTACAGTGTCAGCCTATAGACGAAGGGTCCCGGGTTCAATTCTGGCCAAGGGCATATGCCTGAGTTGCAGGCTCGATCCCCAGTGGGGGGCATGCAGGAGGCAGTCAATCAATGATTCTCTCTCATCATCAATGTTTCTATCTCTCTCTCCCTCTCCCGTCCTCTCTAAAATCAAAATATATATTTTTAAAAAGAAGTATTTTTAAAATTTTTGTTAATATATAGTAATTTTTAAAGCAATAAAGTCAAAGTCCTCTCTGGGCTGTCCTTTGGAAGTATCCATTTCTAGGAGTTCAATGCATGTCCTTATATATTGTTGCGGAATACAAAATGGCACAACCCCATTAGAGGCAACTTGGAAAAAAAAAAAAAAACTATCAAAATTACAAATGCAGTCCATCATATCTCAATAAAGTTGCTTTAAAAATATCACCAGTGCACAAACCCTTTGCTATATGTACACACATGCAAAATGACACTGCAGCTTCATTTGTTATGGAAAGGAATCTGGAAAGAATCCAAGTGTCTCATAATTTGGGGTGGTTAAATAAACTGGGCTACAGCCACACAATGGAATCTTGTGCTGCTGTTTAAAAAAAAATAAAAAAAAAATGAGGAAGCTCTCCTGGTGCTTGATATGGAGAGATTCCAAGGTAGATTACGTGAAACAAAGTACTGAGCGGCTGTTTGCTCTGTCTGCGTAAACAAGGAAGGAAAAAAAATCCACACTAATATATATATATAATTTGCTTATATTTGTATAA